CGCTCCATTCGCACCTGCAATGATTTCATGTGCAGTGGGAATAATGCATCCCCCTCACTTAGTATCTGGAGAGCGCCTGGTTGCCAAGGCTTTGGCAACACGACCCTTGGGAAGGGCCAAGGGTAAGGTCTTCTCTCGGCCAACAGTGTCCGCCCCTTCCAGGTGCACTAGACCTTCTTCCGTTGGTTTTCTAATGCGGAAGGGAATCCCCATGTGCGCTGGAGTCGCCAGTCTAATGACTTTCGTGGTGCGGTCTTTCTGCCTGTGTGCCGTAGTTTGAGGCCGTCTGTCCTGATGTGTTGCTTGGGTCACCGTAAACATTCCCAGGGGCCATGTGACTAAGCAGCATGTCCGGTACAAAGGCCGGGCTTGCAGCCGCTGCAGGCAGCATCGGCCCGAGACACGCAACACACCGGTCATGGTTCCCGGTCGCCGTAGGCGATCCTGTGGGAACGCCCTGCAGCAAGCACACGTTGCCTCCCGGCGGGCCTCTGCATGGCTTCAGCCTCCACTGTGACCGTCTGGCAGGAAGGGGGGATCCGCAGCCTCTTACAGAGTGGCTTCTTTCCCCCACCATTGTGGTGAGCAGCACCCCTGGTGGGGCAATGGCTTTCGTGGAGAAGCAGCATTCTGGAGCGCTAGAAGTTTTCTCGTGCCACTGCAGGCGTCTTTGCTAGCCCGAGTTTAGGATGGCAGCCACTGCCTTGTGGACAGATCTGCTTCTTCCAGTTCCAGCGCTTCTGGAGAGCTTGGCAGTCTCCCTTTGTGCAGAGCGGCCTCCTTGCCCCGCAGCTGAGCATGTCCTTGCCACATCTGGCTTGCTCAAGCACCATCGAGTGTGGCAGCAATGCCAGATCTTCGCAGTTCTTGCAGGCTGGGGCCCTGCACTTGTCTGAAGAACGTCCTACCATCATTTGTGGCCCGATCGCAAGACCTGCTTGCGAATTCACATGAACATGTAAGGTGCCACGATCCTGCTCTGGGCCCACGAAGCCATGCTCAGGTGCTTTGAAAAGCCTTCTGAATAGTGAATGTCCAGAAACACACCCATTCCCCATTTCCTGCATGGACAGACTTAGTTCATGTTGCTGGGCTGGACCTTTGGGCACTGTGGATGCCGGGGAATGGGAACCTGTGGGCTGCGCTGCCTGCGACCCTGTGGCAGTGGGGTGGGTGGGGGCTCATGCGCCATCTTGCATCATTTGGGCAGGAGGCTGGGAACAGTCCCTTGGGAGCGCCCTGGTACGCCAAGCATGAGGAACCATGCAGGTGCTCCTGGCTCAAATACCACCTATTTTGGGGTCCAAAGCATATGTTGCTTTTTCCTTTGGCGTCACCAGGAATGCGGGAGTTTCTGGAAAAGTCCCCTGATGGTGCAGGCGGAACAAGCTGCTGGAAGTGAGTGGAGTGAGTTTTCCGTGGTTCACAGCTAGACGTTGCAACCAAGAAGATCATGTCCTGCATTCCTACCACATCTGAGTGCCTGATGGTGACGGGTGCAGAGCAAGATTTTTCCCGAATTCTTCAGTGGGTCGGCAGGACGACGTGGAGTTGGGTGTTCTTCTAAATATACATTGCCTGTTTGTTACGAGGGGATGACGTGAGAACATAAGCAAGGCCCTGCTGGACCAGGCAAAGGGTCTGTGCACAGAGGGGCAAGCCAGCGGCCCACAGGATTCCTCCAGCGGGGAGGGCACGAGCCGTCTGCCTGCCCCAGCTCCTTCGTGACAGGTGCCTGCAGCTGTGATGCCTTCAAAATGCCAGTAGCCATTGCGGCCTTTCCCCCACGGATCTGTCTGCTCCTCTTTTAAGCCACCCAGCCCCTTCTTCATCTCAGGGGCCCTTCCCTGCACCCAATAATACGAGAAGCTGCACTTTGGAATCTGGCCCAGACAGAGCCCAAGCTAGGAGCCAGTGAGACTAATGAGGAAGCCCCCACGTCAGCGCTCTGGGTCGGCACCGTGCATCTGCTGCACCAGCCGAGCACACACAGCCCTGCCCCTTGCCCTCGAGCAGCAGGACCGGCATCCAACCCCGGCGTGTGTGTCAGCAGCAAGCCCTGCTCCTCTGGGAAGGGGCGCTGTGGCCGCACACCCAAAGCGCTGCCTCTGACCCCAGACCGGCGCTCCTGCTGATCAAAAGCCCCCCTGCTGTGGCGGGACTACGCTTCGGCCTGTATCCCAGCACCCAGGTCACCACTGCCTCGGGTGCTGGCACCTCCTCCTCCAAAGCTGGTGACCGGGAAACGCACAGTTTGATGTTATCCGGACACTGATGGCGCAGCTCTGGACAGTCTCGCACAGCGATGCCATGTCGACGTTAAGCAGCAGGGGGGGAAGCGGGAGCCCCACAGCAGCCCACTAGCCAAACACCAAGGGGTGAAGCGGCAGTTTTCCGGCATCACCTCCAACAGTCCCTTCCCCATCCTGGCCAGGTGGTTCGGGATATGCCAGGTGTGGTGGGCGGCATCATGTATGTACGTATGCGAGCATTCATGTTGTTTCAGTGCCACCCAATAGCCAAAGTTCTCCGGGCAGGTTATAGCAGTGCATAAAACCCCTATGACAAAAATTAAGGGAAACTCAAGAAGTGGGGCCCATCCTGCGACCATCCTCCTTCCGAGCTAAGCGCTGAGACGGTCCCAGGAAGGATCACCCGCACTAAGGCAGCCGCGATGGGGCAAACAGGCCAGCCGGTGGGTGGAGGCCCCCCACCCGCGGCTTCTGCCAGCCCATTCGGAGTACCATGTCCAGGGCTTTGCCGCCAGATCCGTGCAGCAGCGGCAGAGCAACAGGGCAATTTGTGCCGTGTGTTGCGTGGCCGTTTCCACAGTCGCCCTCGCACTTGCCACGCACTTTGGGCCAGCAGTGTCGGCCCGGAGATGCAGGCGGGGATGGCGGCACAACTGCCCCGTGACTTCTGGCTTGTTGCTCATGTTCTTAGAGCTGCGCCACTCTTTTTGCTGGGAGGGGCCAGCAGGGCCACCGGGCCGCCCGCCGGCAGTGGAGCCGCCACGCTCAGGCGACCCGAGGTGATGCCCCTGCGCCCAGCAATGGCCCTTCTCCTTGCCACCTCCGCTTTCTTCATCTCCAGGTCCTGCTGGGGTGGATCCACACCTCAGCATGATGCCTGATTGTCCCTGTGCTTAAAAATCTGGATTCTGCGATGGCCTTGGTGGACATGGCTGCCCACGCCAATGCCTGCTGGCAATCGCTGAACACGCACCAGTAGGAAACCCACCGTGGAAACCCACTGGGGCTCGACAACACGCGTTGGCACCCGTCGCCAGCATCTGGCACAAGTAAGCCCTGGATAGCGAGAAGCAGGGCTTAGGCAGGGCAGTGCACAGAAACACGCGTCCTTCAGCGGATCGACACCCTCTCTCTAGAAGAACTGCTATTTAAAAGGCAGGGCAAGTGCTCCAGAAACGGCTCTGCCCTCCCCGCATCTCAGCCACAACCCACTTCTGCCCTTTTAGGTTTCATCTTCAAGCAGAGCAAAAGAAGTTCGGATCCCCAGGAGCGCAGCTCATTGGCTGGCAGCCTCACCCTTTCCGGGTTCCCCCAGTTGCTCATGTGCTGCTGCTGCTACACAATACAGAGTCTCCATAATAGCCGAATAAATAATGTTAATGCCACCCCCCCCCCCCGAAAAGAGAGACGGGAACAAGCTTTGGCACCCAACCCTTTGCATTAGTTCCACACCTGGAGACCTGCTGTGTCATACTGACCTCATGTTCTGAAAGTGGCTTCAGATTTTGAGCAGAAGGCAAGGGAAGCACAAATATCTCATGTACGGACAGAGGAGAAATCTGTTGTTACTAATTTTTTTATCAGAATTGACCCATTTCCGGACAGAAAAACAGACTTGGATGCAATCTGCAATTGAAGTCAGTAGTTTTTAAGCCTGCATGGCAATTTGCAGACCAGAAAGTGTGTGTGTGTATTTAACACTTTTAAATAAATCTCAGCCACCTCATGGCTCTCTGGACAGTTTACGCAATAAATGACATTTGATGACACGAGTAAAAACGTGCATGAAATGTACATTTTAAGCATGCACAAATACTTTATGATCAATGGGAGAAGAATGCACATGTTTCAACTGAAAATATTTTCATTTTGAAAAATATGCACAAAATACACCTGAATTTTCATGTAAAAGAAGCAAAATTTACGGCCGGATAGGGACTCAAGTCCAAATGCGCTTTGAAACGGCATTCAGGAGATTTCAGGGGCTCAGACTTGCCTGATTTGTGCTCTCCCCATCTCAAGCTTTCAGTCTATGCACTTCTGGAAATCCCTGTGCAGAAAGACCTGTTCCCTCAAAGACAAATACTGCACTCCATCCCATCAAAGCCTTATAACCACCCGATGGGCTCCCCCGTGCCAAAGAATGGCTTAGCTTTGCAGGGCTGCATGTTCAACACCAAGCGCCTTTTAACGCAATGCTGCCGCTTCGCGAATGCCAGCAGTGAGCTAAACCGTGTCAAAAGTACGCACGTTCTCCGTTTCCCCCTTTCCGAATGCATGGGGCGTTTGCAGAGTGCTGCTCTGCGGTCCAATCCCTATTCCTGGAGCCCCAGTCCTGCCCTTCTCCGCCTTGTCCCGCTGGAAGCCAGAAGGTGTCTTGGTCTCATATACGCCGTTGCCTGAAAGTGCGCCCCAGGCCGACACGCGCGAACCTGCCCGCAGGTACGCAGGTGAGCCTCCCCGGCCCCCGCCGCACTGGCCCGGACTGGCCGGGCGGGCCGCATCGCCGCGATGCCGGGCGGGGGGCTTCGCTTCTAAGGCCTGCAGGCCGGAGGGGACCTGCCTCGCCCCCAGGGGCCAGGAGGGAGCCTGCCGGGCCCGGCGCCGCAGCCGCGGGACCGCGGGGGGGACCCTTCGGGCCTAGAAGCGCCCGCGGTACTGGTGCCAAGCGGGGGCGCGGGGGCGCGGAGAGGGGGCGCGGGGCAAGAAGCAAAGGAAGCGCACGGGAGGACGCGCCCCTCCCCCTACCTTCGTCACGTTTCCTCTTCTCGCCATTCGACCGAGGAATCCCCAGAATCCCGTTAATGGAGTACGAGCCCACCGGATCATTGGAGGCGCTGGAGACGGGAGGGGAGGCTGTGCTGGGCACTGGGCAGAAGGAAGGAAAAGGGAGAAAGGCCCGTGAGGAGAGCTGCCGCCCGCCCGCCCGCCCGCCGGCCCGAGGGCGCCCCGGACCTCCGGGAGCCGGCCCCGCGCGCCCGGAGTCGTGGCCAGTCCTGGCCAGGGCCGGGGCCGGGCCCCCAACGCGCTCCGCCCCTCTCGCCCAAAGGGGGCGCCGCGCCCCTGCGTGCTCCCGGCCGGCCGGGTCCCCGCAGCCCCCCGCCCGCCACAGTCGCAGGCCCGCGTTCGCTCGCTCCGTCGGGGCGCCCGTCCCGCTTCCCCGGCTGCGGCGCACGTGTCCGCGGACGAGAGCGCAAGAGCCCAAGAAAAGCAGGGCTGCTTTGCGCCGCCGCCGGAGGGGCTCCGAATTCTGCTTCGGGAGCGGGCAGCAGCTGGCCGCGCCGGGAGATCGGTGCCTGCCCCTCCCGCGGCTTGGGGCGCTTCCTTGGCCGGCGTTTCTCCGACCGCATTAGAATTTGGCGGAGGGGAGTCGCGCACAGGGGCTGGAGGTTGCATTAAACATTTCCCGACATCATTCGGGCATCATTTCCAACTCACTGGCGTTCCGCTCGCTTGCTGTTAGCTATTGGGTCTGCCGCGAGTTCGATGTCAATAAGTTGTCAATGAGGAGGGAGCGGCGCTACCCGCGCAGATGTGTTTGCAAACTCGCATCTCCCAACCGCGCAGTGTGCAGCCCCTGACGCAGGCGGCCAGTCGGGGGCTGAGGGGCCACAGTGCCGGCCATGGCCCAGTCCTGCGCTCCTGCCCATCCCAGCCGCTTCCTCCCCCGCCAGAGGCCTGCGTGGGGGGGGGGGGGCAGGTAAACACAATATCCGGGCATTTTCGGGTGGGTGCTGTCAACACGCAGGCCTCCTTCTCCTGCTCAGCAGCTCTCCCTCCTGAGGGCCCCTGTGGCTTTCCATGAGTCAGGCCCCCTTGCTATCGATAATGCTGAAAAATGACCCAGCCCCAGTGCCATTCTGGGAGGGCACGCGGGGCTCAGCCCCAGGCACTTGGCCACACGGGGGTCTCAGGGGATGGCGGTTGCTATCATTTTCACACTCTCTCTTTATATTATCCTTTCTTTTAAACATTCGTTGGGAGTGCATCTTTCTACCATTTCGGTATTATCAGAACATGCAAATGATGGATACAAAGAGTTCCTCAAAAAATCGAAAATACAACCAGAAGGCTCCGTTTTGGTACTAAAGACAAGAAAATCCCCTTCAGTTCATGGAACTGTATCTTTACATCGTCTGCAAGTTTGGTTGCTGCTGAGGCATCTAATATGCAACTTGATTTTGTTCCGGGGAGCTCTTTCAAAAAAGGCTTTTGCGCTTCCTGCGAAGCATTTCCGGGCATGGTGGCGGGGCAGCTCACACCTGCAGGGAGACGGTCCCTGCAGACTGTCTCCTCCCACCAGCTGCACCTAAGTGTGTCCAACAAGCCAGAGGCCTCTGGTAGTCGATGGGACGAATGACTCGGAGGAAACTACAGAAACAGCAGGAAGGGGAGAGGGAGAAACATGCTTGCACATTGCTCCAGCTGGACTGCAGGTTGCAGAGAAGGAGAACTTGGAGGGCTGGTGATTGTGCGCAGAGCCACAACCCAGCTGAAGGAGCACAAAAGCGCATCCAGGGCACCTGCCTCATGGAATGAGGGCTGCACATTTCCCCAGCACCACCCATGGATGCAACTCATCTTGCCCAGGTGTGGAAGCACAGAAGAAAAGCATTTGAACTGGACCTGAGGCAAGCAAGTGCCTTGGCCGAAGCATTAGCTGGGCCCTGGAGGAGTTACTCCATATGGGGACAGATGCTGCAACACTAAACGAACTGGAGCAGTGGAGAATGAGTTGCAAACAGGCTGGGTGCTGCCTGGCATGTCCAGCAGGGGTTGGCATCCCGATTCTGGCACAAGAGCCCTCAGGAAAGTGGCACATTTCTAGGCACAGTGCGCCAAACGCTCTGAACAGGGCACCAAAGGCAGCCACCGCCATCCACCGCACACGGGGTATGTTTCCCACCCCAAGCTGAGGTCTCCCCGTGTGGGGCACCCACACAGAGCCTGGTGCACAGAACCAGACACCAATTGCACGAGAGACACTTGGTTTTCAGAGGCTTATTTGTGCAAATGTCATTAGTGGCTGAAAAAATGCACACCCCGCAGTCCATCTGAGAGATGGGCGTCCGTCTGTGTGAAGTCTTGCTTCGTGCTGCAGTGCATCGGCGCCAGCACAGGGCTAATGAGCCAGAATCTGGGAGCCTCCCGTGGATTCTCACTCCCCTATTGGATTTCTCACCTAGCAGGTACACTGAAGGCTTTTCCACCGGAGGCATTTGTAACGTGCTCTTCATTCCCTACTCACAGCTGTTTACGGGCTCTTGCAATGGCATTGTGACCTTCCAGTCTTACTTCTGTGTCTCACCAGTACTTTGCACAAATGTTTTTAGAAAATGGTTTTCATTTTACAACTGTGAAGATTAGGAAAATGAATATGTATTCATAGATGTGGAACGAGGTAGGAGAGCTCAAGTAGGAGATGGAAAGATCTCAGAAGATGGAAGACACGAATGGAATTGAATTGAATGGAATTGAATTGTGGGAACAATTCAATTGTTCTACTGGGACGACTCTCAGGACTCAGCAGAAGTGAGCAGAAACAAGGCAGGGGGAACCATTACGGACACAGATGCACTGACTGGGGTCACCGGGTGGCTGGGGGAAGGAAGCCACCCTACACATGCCTGGCAGGCGCCTATGAGGCCCCAAGGTGCCTCTGCTCCCTCTGCCCCGAGCCCTGCAATGAGCTGTGAGTTCTGGGTGCTGTGCACTTTGCCGGGCTGGACGACACGGCAACCCTCACGCCGCAGGTGCGCTGCGTGCAGCCTGGCTGGTTCATGCCGGGCAAGAAGACTCTACCCTGTGCCTTCTGGCCCCTGGCACACCAGGGGTGCACTATGCACTCCCGAAGTGCTGGCCGAATCCAGCTTTCCTCGCTCGCTTTCCCTGATTGAGGACGACTGTGTGGGGAACGAGGCTGCTGCGCAGGCCCGCCATCACGGAGGACTGTGGGACAGTTGTCCACTGCACTCTGCACGGCCGTCGGCAGAAGATGCATGTCCTTGCCATGGCACAGAGGGCACCACAGGTGTGGCCCAGGGACCACCAGCCCTGTCGTGCGGAGCAGGTGCAAGCAGGGAACGTCTTCTGCTCTTAGGTGGCCGTACTATGAATGTCATACTTGAAGGTCTTCCTAGAATGCTGGGCACACCGGGGGGGGGGGGGGAGACTCCCTGGAGAAGACAGTCCCGCTAGGGAGGGTCACAGGCAGAAGGTGAAAGGAAGGCCACGTGCGAGGTGCTCCGACTGAGTGGCGCTGACACCGACGGCGCTTCGGGGGGTTTCCATTCACAGGGCTGCCCTAAGTCAGGGGAGACTGGACGGCATGTAGCTGCCGCAGAATCCGGAAGTGCGTGTGTGTGCAAGAGCGGGCTCCGAGCTCTCGCGTGCATGGGCAAGCGCAAGAATTAACCCCCAACCCGCCCTACTCTGAGCTGTGCGGCACAAACTTAGTGCGTGTCCAAGACCATGCCAAACATCCTGCTGCTGCCCACTGCAGGGGACACGTGTGATGTGGATTGTGGGCCACGGTGCTCCTATAGCCTTTTACCAAGCAGCCCTGAAGCGCATGCAAAGAATGCCAGTGCCCCCGAAGCTGCTTGAAAGCCAGGGCACTGCACCAGCGGCCAGCGCAACGGTGTGTGCACCTCCTCTCCTTCCCTGTGCCTCGCCGGCTGCATCACCCGGTCCATCCCCTCCGCGACTTGGAGCGTGTGGCACCGTGGGGAAGGCGAGACCCTCGGAACGGCCAGCCAGCCACGGAGTTCCCACGGCGTGCTGGGACGCTAGATGGCTGACGGCGTCTAGCAGCCGATGCCGCCCGGCTCCGGGGCTTTCGTGTGCCCCGTGGCCAGGGCAGGGTGCGAGGCACTGGTCTCCATTCCCTCTGTGCCGCTTGCCCCGTCTTGTATGAAGAGGCAGCAGAAAGCGGGCTGGGTAACCCGCAGGGTCAGCGCAATCCTCCCCCGCAGCAGCCCCCTCTCCCCACCCCGTCACACCCCTTGCCGCCCCCCACGGCCCGGCTGGAGCCTTGGAGCAGCCAGCCGTGCTGCTCCGTAGCAGCCCCAGTGCGTGGAGCCCCAGCTCCAGCATCACAGGATCTCAGTGCTGCGACCCAACTAGTTAATCAGTTAGTTAATAAATGCAGAAAAGGACTACTTGCTGTTACTGAGAACGGCTACCCTTGAATGGCATTAGCAGCAACAACAAATCGCGTCTTGGAACACCTACCCCTGTTGTAGCAATAGGACCATTACAATTACTGCAGAAAGCAGAATCAGTGCCCTTCAGTGCCACGAGGAACTAGGTTTTAAAACTTTCAATTGCTGGAAAATATTGTCCTGGTCAGTCAAGCAGCAGATTTTTAAAAATGACTTTCACTTATTGCACACCCACAAGCTGCAGGCGAAAGGGTCCAGGCATCAAAGAAACAGGTCTCCTCTCAGAAGAATGCAAGGCAGCAACAGGCAGCAGGCAGTTGCATACATTCTGGTGTCTTTTGAGCAATTAGCTCTTAATCAAGGGACTGACAGAAAAAATAGCACACATCCATTACAATTTCTTAGATGATGAGCTCCAAAGTGCGCCACCAATTTACAGGCTCCTACAGTGGTAGTTGAGCTTGTAACAGACACGAGCTTTTCTTTGTTCTGACAGTCCCCTGATGAAAAGTTAATTGCTTAAGAAACTCGGGGTTGGGTGCCCCTTCCGGGGGGCCAACTGTTTTGCCTCCCGAAATGGCTGGCTCTCCCTTCCTGCTGGGCTGCTGTCCTTTTGTCCCTTCCTCCTCGGGTGAGGGGAATGCCCCTTCTCTTCTGGATGAAGCCTGCTGCTACAGGTATTTGCATCATAGTTGAAAACAAATGGGCTTTCCCTCCAATGGCCTTTATTCTTCCTTGGATATCCTACATCCTGTTGGATGCTGGCCAGAAGGGCAGGGCAGAAGAGCCTCTGCAGTGGGGTTGGAGTGCAAATCTGCCCCACAGGTCCCCAGCACGCCCACTGGGGCATCCAGGATGCGCTCCAGACCTCCAGCCGCTCCTGCTGGGGAAGCAGCCCAGCTGTTTCCTCTGAAGGCCCTGGGTCCAAGCCAGAGAAAAGCGGCGTGGGGAAACAAAGGGGAAGCACCCAGCAGGGCTCTGGAAGTGGTGGATGATTTACTCTGCAACTTCTCCCCCCCTCCCTGGAATTTAGGAACTTTTTCACTCAAGGAGTTTTGTTAATCTGCTGTATCTGCTTTTGGTTTTGTCACAAAATTGAGATCTATGCACTAGTCAAAAAGTCTAGTCTAGTCTAGCCAAAAGTTCTTTCCTGCTTGTCTACTACATAACCTCCAGGTGGCACTGTGACATAGCAGCATAGCGAAACAACACCGGTTAAAAAGGGGGTTAATTTTAATTTCATTTTCAAATGATACTACATTTTCTCAGAGCTAAAAGAACTCACTGAAAGTGCTGTTTAAAAACAAAAGCAAAGCTGGAGGCCCCGGCATGCTCTGAAGAACTCATGAGCAACAATGATGGGGAACGACAAGGCCACAACAAATGCCTTATGCAGAAAAGCTCTGCTCTGATCATTGAGTTATTAATTGGCTGAAGTGATGCTCTGTATTAAGTTATAGCGATAAAGCTCATTTGAACTGGCCACTTTCTGGTCTACTTCGCCATAGTTCTTTTGGTAAAAACAAAATAATTCTTCTTCTTCAAAAGGCAACAGTTCCGCTTTCAAAGAAGAAAGAGAGTTTCTTCACAACAGAAAGATTAGTTAGGAAAGAGTTGGATTCCCCCCCCCCCCAAACATGTGAGACTCACACTTACTGCACATGCATAAAAGATAATATGGAAAGGCTGAGAGGTTGGGAAGCTCTACTTCTGAAGCCTGGGAAGACGGCGTTTCTTTTATCCGCCTCTCCCTTTCTGCTATTAAATTCCCATTCGAGGGCAGCACATCAACTGTGTGCTGGGGTGCTTCCAAATATGTACCCAGGAACAACATGAGGGCAATTCCAAAAGAACATTTGCACAGCTCACACATTCAACCCATTAAAAAGCTACGCAAAGTGCGGATGATGGGAGAGGGAGCTGCATCCCTGAGCTGTTCTAGAGCCGCCCATACCGAGCATGGGCCCCATTTCTCTGGCCCTCCCTGCATGCCGGGGATCCTTCCAGAGCTTCCCCTGAAGTTTCCAAGTGCTATAAGTGAGGACCCTTTTTTCTGACAGACTGCATGCTAGTGGCAGTGTTATGATCAAGGCGGTGAGGCCAGAAAACAGTCCAACAGGAAGGAAGGACCTTTTTCCGGCAAAGCTGTGTGCAAGATCCCTGTCTGGAAGCAGCAGCCGGGGACCCAAAGCATCTAAAAATTCACCCAAAGCAACAAATGCTCTGGGGAGAAATGGCTGGACTTGATGGAAGGTGCAGGTGAGCTGATCACCTTCCCACGAGGTGGGAACAGGCTGCCTGTGTTCTTGGGCAGGGCAGCTGCCAGGCAGGGCCATCTTAATGCGTGGGCCTGATGGGCGCTTGCCCGTGGGCCCCATACTAATCTGCGTATGTTAACCCTTGGAAAATCGGAAACTTCCAAAATGAACAGTAGTTGTCGTTGTCGTCGGGGCCCAGTGCACTGCTTTGCCCGGGGCCCGTCATGCTGTTCAGGCGGCCCTGCCACCGGGGCCTGCCGCACCCCTGCCCGGTGCCGTCTTTGGCCACAACTGCAGCAGCAATCCTGAGCATTCCTGTGCTCCTCTTAGTCTGCATTACTCTCGCTTAACGTGCGATTTTGTTTGCGCTCCTAATGCCGACTGAGTGAAGCTTGAGCGGGAGTTTTCTGTGTTTCTTCATCAAGTGGGCTTTCAGTGTGCAAACATCAAGGGTTCCAGCAGGAGTGCCTCCCTGTCCCGACTCCGGTGGTCATGTCTCCAACTGCTCCCTTCCACCGCCATTTAACCCTTCAGAGGCTGTGCTTCCCCCACTCCAGTTCCGGTCTGTGTACAGAAGACTGATCCACCCACACCTCTCCACGCATTGTCCAGGAAGGGTCCCCAAGCTTTCTTGGCTGGCGGACACAGTCCCTGTTTTGAGGGGGGCCTGGACCCCCCTAGAAGTGTCTGCCCTGTGTGGGTGCAGCTGGCCCATTCGCAAAACGGCTGCCGTGGGAGGTGTGGCAAAGACAGGACACGTGTACCCAAAACGGGTCGGCTAAAAGCAAAGTAACGTGCCCAGGCAGGGGGAGCCAGGCCAAAGGAGGGTCTGAGCTCACAGAGGCAGGGCACCAGTCCACGCCACACGTGCCCAGCCAACACCCTCCCCCAGAAAACTCCTGTAGATAAAGCACACGTATCTCGCACACACAAGACCCAGGCAAATGCACACCACACCAAACTCCTTCTGAAACTCAGGAAAACGCACCCAGGCTGTGCGTCAAACCAGTGCCCCAGGCAAGCGCCCACACCCCAGGACCATGCAGGCACAGAGCCCTCCCTGCCAGCCCACTGGGTTCTCCGGATGGATGCCCCCAGCCTGCTCCCCCCACGACTTGCCATGGCCTTTCTCTCTGGGAGGCTCAGCACCTTTCAAAGCGTGGGGCAGGCCACTGCCTAGACACCTCTGGGGGCCTCCCTGCGGTCCAGAGTCCTTCCTGAGTGGAAAGAAGGTGCCGGGAGCCACTGCCTTGTGCCGCGGCCTCCCAGCTCCAGCAGTGATCTTGGAAGCACCCCGAGTGCCCGGCAGGCGCCAGGGAGGAGTTTGTGGGCACCTGTCGTGGGGGAAGGGACCGTGCCACTGCTGGAAGTGGGATCGAGCCGCCTGCACAGCCAGCTTCCCCTGCAGGGTGTTGCCCAGAGAGGCACTCCAAGTGTAATCGACACAAAATCAAGCTGGTGTGACGTGCAGAGGTAATTGCCATTAATGCCCGCATCCCGTGATTCTGTGGGTTTCCCGCCCAGGATGCTGACTGGGCCTCCAGCCCGTTGATGCCCCCTCTCTGGCCCATCAGCAACCTGAGCATTTCCATGGGGAAGCGGCTGGGGAGGGGGCAATGCAGCTCCCCCACCCCCTTCTCCAACTTGCACAGAAAAGAAGGTCAGGCCTGCAAACGTGTCAGGCTGGAGAGCACGCACAGAGGTGTGGAAAGACTTGTGCTGTTTGGCACGGGGAGAATTCAGCGCTTGGGAGGGGGCATCTGCCTGCCCACCCTCTCGAAGGAGCGGCAGCCTCTCTCTTCCCTGCGTCCCAGTCAAGGGGCATCCTACGCAGTGTCCAGAAAACAAGCAGGGCGGGGGAGGCATGTGGGCCCGTGGGTGGGGGGATACGGGGGTGTCACAGGGGCTGTGTCAACAGTGCTGGATCAGTGGACCTGAGCAGTAACCAGCCCTTCCCAAACAGACGACATCTTTGCTCCACAGACATGGAATTCCCTCAGCAGTGGAAGAGAAGGCGTCCACAGACATGAAAACCACTTTGCAATCTGCCCAGAGAACCTCTGTCATCGCCTGGATGAAAGATGCACAAGACGGAGCCTCTTTGCCCCTGCGGGACATGCGTGAGGCGTGCGCATCTCGCCCTTCATGCTTCCTCGCCCACCTCAAGGTTCCTCTTACCTATGGTATGTCCAGGTGCAGTAACTCCTGAGCCGCTCCCATCTGGCGTTGGGTGGAAAGGCTGCTGCACTTTGGTCCGGATGATCCTGCAAGAACAACAGTGGCGGCAACAGGTGAGCCCGTGCCTCTGTGGAGAGGGCAAGCGCATGCGCAGGAGCTCGTGCAGGGACTGATGCGCAGAAATCAGGCAAGCATGCACCAGGCTGTTGGGTAATTTGGGTAACCCCTGAAGGAAGGGAGAGAGGGACCCTCGCGGAAGTGCTTCCCCCGGCTTCCAGACAAACAGCACGGGGGAATGTGCTTCTTTCCTCGTGGGGCGTTCAGCCCTAAATGAGGGTCTGGTGCCCAGAGCACAGCATCCCCCAGAGAAACCCCAAGGGCGCCCTCGCTGCTCAGGCACATCCCGCAGAGGCCGAGGACCCTCCAAGAGAGGGAGGGAGCCTCGAGGTGCGGCTCCGGCCACTGCTCAGGGGAGGGCCTCTTCCCTCCATGAAACAAGAGCTTTGCCAGCCCAGTACCTGGAGGGCGGAAGACTTGTTCCTCTTATCAATGCATGCCGGGTCCTCTGACCTTTGTTTCTGGCTACTTGGGATCCCCCTTCCCTGCCTTTGGGCAGAACCGATGGTGTGCCGCTGAGTGCGCAGACGGCCACAATGCACCCTCTGTGGGGAGGCCTCGGCCTGTCCTGGTGGACCCACGGCAGCTCTTCACGCATGCAGGCACTCTCCTTGTGTGGCCAAGGCGTCTAATGAGGCAGCAGCTGAGTCGGCCGTCTCCGCTTCTGCCCACTCCTTCTGTCAGGCATTCCATGACTCAGCTCCCCGTTTCCTGCCTTCTTTCTCTCTGAAGTTCTCGCAACCTTTGCCTCAACTCTCTCTTGGCACTGGGGCAGACAACATAAAGCCTGCAGGCCTCCTGTGTCCCCCACCCACCAAACTCTTCGGCAGGAACCGTGAAACATGCGTGGACAGACAGCGGCTGGGCTGCTGCCCTGGGGGAGCTCAGGAAGCGGCGTCTCCCCATGGCTTCATGGACACCAAAGGGCCATGCTTCCCCATGGGTTCACGTGTGCCGACGAGCCCGGCGTGTCGTGTCGTTACGTGCGTCCCCACCCAAGGCGTCGGCATTAACATATCGCTAGAAGCCCCCAAGCCCAGATGGATGAAGCAGAGCGCCTGGTCATGCGGGACAGAATAGCTGCCGTGTGAGGCTGTCTCTGATCATCAACGCAATAAACTCACCCCAGGATATTAAAATCTACGAACGGACGGGGAGTTGCTTGAGGGAGGAGGAGGAGGAGGAGGAGGAGAGGGAGGAAGGGAAGGGGCATGCAGTCTAAAAGACCAGAAAGAAGAGCAGAATGGCTTCTGTCCATGTAATCCATATGGGCTGGAGCGCAGTTTGGGGTTAGAGGAAGGCCTACAATTTTGCTGCACCACAGAATCTAAACAACATTTGGAAGGTGACTTGAGGATGTGCAGAGAAAGCGAAGGCAGCCAAAAGAGGCAACGTGGTCGCAAAGACATTCAAGTCAGAGAGAGGCTGAAAATTTGGTCTGCAATATGGAATTGTTATATAATGCTAAACAATTGCTCTAAATTAGAACATGCAATTAGTCATGGAACTCACAAGAAAGTCTGTAATTGTGAAAGGGTCCCAAGATCTGGTGTAAGTACAGCCAAACCGCTTGGAAAAGGCAATCACGGCGATCCATTTCAGCCTACGTGTGAGTGGAAAGCTGCCCGCGTTTTCCCTGTGAGAATGGCTTACGGTACATGGGACGCCTCTGCTTCGGAAAGGGGCGAATAAAGGGCAGGGTGCGGCAGAGGCTCGGAAAGCTCTAATGCAGAGAGAGCGGCTGCGGTTCACTGGTCCCCCCCCCCGCCGTCTACGGCAAGAGCTTGGGGTCACCCAGTGAACCCAGTAGCAGGTGCGGGACACGAACGAGGAGGGCTGCGTTGGCACAGAGCGCCACTGTGGCACGGCTGTGGCATAGGGTGGGCATGAACGGCCCAGGGCCTGCCACCGCAGGCGAACCTCTGCTAGTGGTGGTGAGACGTTGCCATGGTGTCAACGGCCCGCACCCGGGGCCCCGTGCTTCAGGGTGCCCGACGCTGGCCCGGCAGCGGGGGAGAGCGCCTCTTTTGTGCCCTGGTGCATCAACAGGGGCAGGTGGCTGGGTGCTCCTCAGACGTGGCGGCTGGCCTGGGCGGCCCGCCAGCCGGGCCCATGGCCCAGTGCCGTTCCAGCCCCGAGGCCCGAGGAGCAGAGCTGTTCTAGAGCCGTTCCGTGGCCGGAGCTGGGAAGGGGCAGCCATTCCAGCTGCCCTCCCTGCTCGCCCGAGCTGCTGGAGGCAACGGGTCTGTGAGCGTATTGATCCCACCCCCCTCCGCATGGCCCCTCCCCTGCAGCCGCCCCAGGAAGCCGTGATGGGGTGCAGGCAAAGGGATGGAAATAGAAAGCTATAAATTACTTGTGACAGGAAAGCAATAGTGCCGGAGAGCGACGCACAAGTCCTGTGTCACTATTAGATTCCTTTTAGCCTGATGACACTGTAAAAGAGGTTAAGCGTCTGATGGAACCCGATACGCGGGCTGGGCGGGGGCAGCCCGGAGCAACTCAGCCCGCACGGAGGGGATTATATCAGTCCTGCAGGCCAATAATATTCCTTTCATTGATCACAGCCCAAAGTTCAAAAATCTCATTACAGCTTGGCAGACCTGGAACTTTTCAAAAATCAATAGAGTGATATAATGTATGTATACTTAGTATAAATGTATCTGTTCAGCGGCCCATCCATCCAAACGAGGCCTACGGGGTTCTGCATCAAGCGTACACAGAGCACCGTGTTCTGCTACATAGTAATGTCCTCGTCGTAATGAATGAGATCCGCGATCTCCTTGGCAACCTCAGGTGACACGCAATTAAAAGCATTTCCTGCTACCAGCATCGTGGCGAGCTCCGTTCGGCTGTGGCCGTCCAGGGAGTGCTCTGGCAGAGCGGCCCTCACACAGCTCAACTCACGCTGGGTGATCGGCACTCGTGGAGTGATTGTGAGAAGGGCACCTTTCCGTACCAGGGAGAGGCCGTCCAGGCCGTCCTGCCTGCTGAGTCGGAGCACCTTGGACCGACAGGCTGGGAGCAAACAGACAAGTCACCATCTTGGCTTTCATGCCCTACATGTGAGCCTCCATGGGCATTTTGGTTGGCTAAGATAGATTGATGGGCTAGATCAGGTGTAGCCAAACCTTTTGGTCCGGTGAATGAGCACATCTGGAAATCTGAGAGACTGTTCTGGGCCCCAGCTACAAAATGGACATGATCCTGGTTGAAGAATTGGCCTGCAGGCACCTGGTGTCTTCCGTTCTGAGCCCCACATGTGGGACCATTTCACTCTGAGGGAAGTCCAGGTGTCACTACAAAAGTCTGTTACTTAGGTTTTTTTCTTTTTCTTTTTTAAGGCCGAGAAAAGTAGGAAAAGCAGCCCAATGGATGTTGAGAGAGCGACTCAAGGACTGCCCTGGAGGTCCCTGAGTCGCCTCCTCTTGGGCCAGCTCGGAGGGCACACAGTTGCAAGCCTGTGGAACAGCTGCTTGGATGGAATTCATGTGTGGAATCCCTTCGCACTTGGAGGACCACAGTGCTAAAACAGACTTTTCAACATAGTGCGCCATGACATTCTGAGGAGCAAATTAGCAAAAAGTAGACTAGATAGAAAAACTATTAGGCGGATCCAAAATTGGCTGCTGAACTGGACACAGAGAATGCTCATCAATGGCACCCTGTCAAACTGAGAGAGGTAAACTGAGAGCCAGTGTGGTGCAGTGGTTAAGAGCGTGGGACTGGGACTCAGAGGATCTGGGTTCTAGTCCCCGCTCGGCCATGGAGCCAACTGGGTGACTTTGGGCCAGTCACAGACTCTCAGCCCAACTGACCTCACAGGGTTGTTGCTGTGGGGAGAAGATGGAGGAGGAGAATGATGGAAGCTGCCTTGAGCCCTTTGTAGGAAAAAGGCAGGATATAAATTGATAAATAAATAAATAAATAAATAAATAAATAAAATGAACTAGTAGGATGCCTCAGGGCTCTTCAACATCTCTAGTAATGATTTAGATGATGAAGTACAAGGAAAGAAAATCAGATTTGTAGATGATACAAAACTGGGTGGAATAGTGATCACCCTAGAAGACAGGATGCAGATCCAGGGTAATCTTGACAAATCTGAACGCTGGGCTGAAAGCAACAGAATGAGATTCAGTAGGGTCAAGTGCCAAGCCCTTCACCTAGGAAAAAGAAACCAAACGCAAGGTGGGGAATATGTGGCTCAACAGAACTGAAAAAGAAAAAGACTGTGGAGCAATTGTGGACAACAGACTAAAAATGAGCCAACAATATGATGCAGCTGCCAAAAGGACAAATGCAATTTTGGGATGCATTAACAGAAGTATTACTTCCCAAACATGAGAAATAGTAGTTCCCCTATACTCCTCACTAGTCAGACCCCACCTGGAATACTGTGTCCAGTCCTGGGCACCAAGATTGAAGAAAGGTGCAGGAAAATTAGGAAGCTCCAGGGGAGGGCAAGAGGGATGATCCAGGGTTTGGAAACACTACTCTGTGAGGAGAGACTGAGGGAACTGGGCATGTTCAGCCTAGAGCGGAGAAGACAGAGTGGGACATGACATCACTCTATAAGTATCTCAAAGGCTGTCGCAAAGAGGAAGGTCAAGGTCTCATCTTGCTCATGCCAGAGTGCAGGACATGGAATGGTCAGGACCCCGAGGGTGTGGAATGGGCTTCCACGGGGGGTCGTTGAGGCCCCATTGGTGCAGGTGTTCAAGGACAGGCTGGACGTGCACATGGTGGGCGTGTCGTGAGCGGAGCCAGCTGGTGCCGGAGGTCAGACTAGATGGCCCGGGAGACTCCTTCTGACTCGCTCTGTTTCTATGTTTCTATAATCAGTTCAAGTTGCAACAATCCAGATTCAGGCTGGACATCAGGAGAAGCTTCCTCATGGTCAGAGCAATGTGTCAGTGGGACCAGCTGCCTGGAGAGGCGGGGGGCTCTCCCACACCGGAGACGTTCA